CAACAACAACAACCACAACCACCACATCGACGGACGAAGGGCAGCAACATCAAAGCACAACAACGACGACGACCACCGAACGACACAACAGCCAACACAAGAACGGTACTTACAGCAACGTCTACATGCAAAACAAAAGACTTGTGCTAGATTACCAAAGCTCGCTCCGTGGAGGGAAAAACTTTCGTTTGCGATTCAGCTTTGCTGATCAGCTAAGGGTGTAGGGGGGGTGGACCACCCAGAAAGTGGCCCAAAACGCCCTCCGTTTTCGGGACTCTAGGAGAGATGTATTTTTGGAGAAACGGGACCCCGATGATGCTTATGATAATGCCTGGCGCCGGGGCGGGGGGGGGGTGGGGGTGTGATGTGTAGCGGCAAGTGAAAAAGAAGTATCGCCCATCTCCGTCCTGTTCCGGCCCCGTGCAGCTTGCCCCCGGTTTGTGAGCTTTCGTCATCCCCCTCCCCCTTTGCTGAGACTTGCTGCTTAACTGCAAATGCCAGGCATCGTGAACAAGTTGCAATATCCAACCAGCATGAGCCGGCATTGCCTTTGCAGAAGAAGTATTTTCCACAGCAGGTCGCTGTCGAGAGAGGAGGAGGTGCATCAGACCTGTTGCATGCGCCTCGCGGCACTGCATGTCAGACTCGACTCTTCTGCTTGAAATTCTCCATGCTGACCGATCCCGGGCCTGTTGTCACCTCCTGCAGACACGACGGCTGATACTGCTGACAACTCCTGAGTCCGGAACAGGACGGCCTGACGCGTCCGAGCAGCGCATCATATCAGAGAGCTGCCGCAGTCTATGCATCTTTGCCGAAAACACCAGGCACGACCCCGTGCCCGTTTTTCAACCGAACCATGGGCCACGAATTGACGCAGGAGGGACAAGGACACTTGTCCCAGACGCTGATGGTTTCATCTTCCGTCCCAGCATTGAGGCTGCTCTCTCTCTCTCCCTCTCTCTCCCTCCCTGGCTCGCGCTCTAGACTGTCTGATTCCGGAGACAGAGCGCGCAATGTGCTCGATCCGCAGGCAGAGCCGAAACCAATGCCCCGCGGACGACCGAGACCGGTCAGGCACCTCGATCACGACAATGTTGCAGAGATTAGGACTTGCTCTCGTTTCCACGACAGTCGTGGCCTCGCTTCGCTTACGGCATCTGTGGCGAGATCTCCAAAAGTGTCGGTCAGCTGCAGTGAGAGCTGCTTGTACACATGAACTTTGGATCGGTCTGCGCAGTTACATGCAGAGGGTCAAATTTCATGACGGATTGCGCTTGAGGTCGCTTCCCACCGCCAGCTCTGCTAGTGCTGACACTACGGTGAGCGGTTGGAGCGGTCTCTTTTGTTCTTTCTCTCCTGGTTTAGCCATATAGTGCTCCAAAGGTCGAGGATGTTCCAGCTCCCCGAATAGCTTGGAGCGAAGGCAAGCATGGGCATAGTGATGCTAGTTGGGCTGTGCGGCTAATTGAGCGCGCTTCTCGTGTTGTGATGCAGGCATTGAGGATGTCCCTCCAGATGCAGCCAGTGATGACATGTCCGCGGCTTACATGTTGCAGCTTCAAAGTGCATCTCCTCCGGTCTATGTCCACTTCAAGAAGGCGTTTTTTGATCAACGAACCGAGGCTAGCGGCAGCTGCTCAGATCCGACGAGATTGGCTCGCGAGGCAACTTATGGATGACAACGAGGCTGTCGCCCGGTGCTGTCTAGTTCAAGTTCGTTGTGAGTTGGAATTTTGCCGGCCAGGAGTCGGAGGCTCCGCAGGAGGATGAACAGGACGAGCTTTTTTATTCTTTGTTGCCACATGACGCTTGAACTTGTCTCTTCCTTTCGACTAGGACTCGGGTCGATGGCACCTCAGGCCAGTGCAGCCATGGCTGTGCAGTGGGCACCGTTGTGCAAGAGCCCGGAAGGACGGAGGATGGGCGACGATCCTTGGGTGAACTCGAGGAGAGCTTGGCCAAGGCCAGAATATGCCTTTTTTTCTCACACGTCCTTCACTCGACTTACCAGGCAAAGCAACGGGCAGAGAGAGGCCGCCGGGAGCTCGCTGGCGTGACCCCAAGTCTGAGTGCTTCGTTCCTTTGCAGTCAGTCTGAGTGCTTCGGAGCGATGTCATTCCATAGCAGCCCTTGGCAAATAGGCTACTTGGAGACATTGCGCAGCAAGACTTTTCAGGTGCGCCGCAAGGTCACAAGTGCTGTGCCATCACGAGATGTCTCCGTGCTTGACAACAATGCATTTTCAGGCTGACGAGACAGATGCCATGAAGGACGAGGCACCCATGTCACTAAATGTCTTTGAACCGCGCGCAGTAGATCCGGGTAGCAAGCGCTGGCGCAATCAAGGAAGCCAAGAACGTACTTCCGAGGGGGGGCAGTTGGGGGCTGAAGCAAGTACTTTTGAAGCAGCCCCGGATCCGAGCAAGATCGAATCGAGCTGAGGGGCACATGAACTAGCATTTTGATGTAAGGGTTCGGTGAGTAAAAGGGCTCCGAGAAATTTGGATGAGTGCATTTGTTGTCTGAGATTTTGGAGATGCTAGCAATCAAAGCGGTGCTTCATTCAATAGCAAATACAACTAATAAAGGAACGAACTGGGAGCTGCGATGCAGCATGCCGACATCACGGGGACTACCAAGCGTTGGATTCGTTTAGCCTTCTTGAGTGCAGAGCTGCGGACGCGGACCGGCGTTTGGCCCTCCTTTTCCGACACAGGCGTCCATGGCCACGGGAGAGAACTAGATTTGCCCACCGACACACTGTAGATCACCGTAGCACGCAGACTCGCAAGACATCTCCTCCCCGAACAGCTCCTGATCTAGCGTAGCTCGGGAGGATCGTTTCAATTCTTCTGAGCTGTGACTTGCACCCGCTCGCCCCTGCAGGAGCTTTTGGTTTCGCTTCCCGTGGATTTTGAGGATGTTGTCGATATCAACACCTCCCTCACTGCGGAAAGGCCATGGAGTGCATTGACAAGGGTTCCCTGGTGCTATTTGCTGCCATGTCGTGCTCAACAGGAGGAAATCTCGACATCGGGGGCCAGGACCTCCGGACTGGGAGCATCAACTGTGCAGGTTCTTGGATGCATTCCCAAGTTCTGTCGCCGATCGCAACGAAACGACTGTTGACGGGCTGTGGCCACTTCCGCGAAGGAGCATCCGGAGACAAAGGCGCAACTCCTCCAGGTGCAAAGGGTCTTCGTGTCTTGCATCTCTTCGAAGCCGACCTCCACCGTGCCTGCACCCTGAAAGCGTCTCTCTCGTGAGCACCGCGCATGCGGTTGCAGTGTGCAGGGGGGGGGGACAGAAGAAGCGGGAACGTGGCAAGACTGGCCTGCAACGGGTGCATCATCTACATTGAGAACCTGTTACGGTTTGTTGAGTGAGGTTGCATGACATGTTGCTAGCAAGGTGACAGCAAAAACAAAGGTTGTGACAAGATGCAGCCAAGCCATGAGGTGCGGTGAGGTACTGACGGAGTGGCATGGGCAGAGACAGTCTTGCACAAACCGCCGTACCCGGCACATGATTGCCACGTTGTACTTTGGGTGCTTGGCTTTGCCAATGCCTTTGCATCTTGCAGGTAACACCAAGGGGCTCAGCGAAGACTTCAAGTGAGCCCCTCAGAAAATCTCAGAAACACTTCAACTTCTGAAGATAGCTTTGCGTTTTCTATCAGGTTGCCCGCCTTCTTGGAGAAGTACTTCTTCGAGGAGAAGGCGGTCTTGGCCTAAGTGGAGAGCTCCACAAATTGGCTTCTGAAGATTGCTGACAGAAGCAGTCAGTGAACCAAGGTGGAGGAGTTGCCAATCGTGCGCCTGCAGGTGGAGGAGGACATCTGCTGCTACCATGGGATTACACTGTATCACGCTCTGGCTTCCGCGAATTCAGGCCGCAGGGGAGTCTGCTGTAGACAAGATTGCGAGGCATGGTCTGCGAGGGGATGGGATGTGGCCAGCTTCGTGAGATGCCCGTTGTCAGGCAGATCGCGCGATTAGACACGCTCTTGGCGAGAAGAGAGGTGCAGCGGAGGCTGATCGTCCTGCCCTGTTTCACTCCCCTGGCACAGGCCGACGGAATGGCTCGCCTCAAGGCTTCCAAAGCTGAGCACCTCTGGCTCTTTTGGGACTCTATGCCGCTTCGCCTCTCGTGAAACCTGAGCTTCCGGCAAGCTGATCGAAGATGTGCGCTTGACCGCAGCTGTTGCCCCCCTTGGCTTTTTCTTGCGATTGGGATGGCCAGCCTCGAGTCCCCAACAGCTCCTCGACCCGCAATTCAGTGGGCTGTGGGTAGCTCTGCAATGCCTTGCTCAGTTCAGGTTGTTGACACGGACCCTCTGTTTGCCACGAAGGTCCTACTAGGCCGTCTGGACGTTGTTGCTTCTTGCTCCGCAGAGGTGCAATCAGTGCAATCTGCACAAGGGTTCGTGCAGCATGTGCAGCAGGATCGATTACAAGCTTTGCTGCCATTGCATACATGATCTGGCTGGTCGTTACTTGGCTGCTATCACTTTTCCTTTTCTAGGTCAGTGTTGGGCAGCTTTAGCTGAGATCCAAGGCCACTTAGCTTGTTATGCTGCTTCCTTGTGCATGAGGTCGCAGAGCGCAGAAGAAGCAAGGACTTGTGCATACTTCAGCGTTTTGGGCATGTCAGTGCAATTTGAGATGTCATGTTCGCATCTGCAGCGGAAAGGAGAAAGCCAAGAAAAGCAGATGAAGGAAGGCTTCATCGCGTGCCATCGAGCAGTGTAAATAGACTTTGGCCCCTGTCGCCACCGTCCTGCCATCCTGCCATGCTCACGGAGTTCGCCATGTCGGCGGATGGCAAGCTTCGACTGTCAAGTCATTGCCCAAACTCCAGAGGGCGCCACAGGGCGCCACGCGAAATCCAGAGTCGAGTGAACATCTACCTTGAAGCAGCAGCTGTCATGATCCGACCCGGTAGTTGAGTAGAGGCGTCGCTTGCGTGCATTGGCATGCATGCAGCGGAGAGAAATAGTGCTGGACGTTGTACATAGTGGACTCGACGGCCTCGATCCGCATGCACACAGCTGCATCCCTGAAAAGCAGGTGTATGCCGGACACATGCTGCTAACTTAATCAGATGCCTAAAGCTAGCACTACTAATCTCAAGCTGCTTGTGCAGACAATCTCGCTTGCCAGGGTGGAGGCGACCAAGGACAGATACGGGTTCTTCAGGGTGCCTCGATTTCTTGCCGATCTGCCTTTTTGGACAGGAGCGCCTGAAAAGAGAAAGCGTTGCGACCTTGGCGCATGTTGCTGTCGATTGTAATGCTTGTTGCTGAGCGCCGCTTTAACTTGGGCTTCAATCTTGAGTGCAGGGCCGAGCGATAAGCGTGTTTCAGTAGGAATTCTCGAACACAGATTCAGCTCGTGGGCAAACGTGAACAGATTCGTTTATGCATGTTCTTTGAGCGCCTGGGCTTGCGCGTGAACGATCACTACAGGCGGCTTCACAACAGCTGGCTTTCATAGGGAGCGCTTCCCCACGTCTTGGTGCTCTGCATCTTCACTCGGTCAGGTCATCCCGGCCTTGAAGGCAATTAGACAAGTGCGAAACAGCCGGTCTTCAGCTTTAGCGGGGACCAGAAAGGGTTTTCCTGGGCCTGGCCAAAGTTGACACAAACTGCCAGTGAATAGCCCCGCACAGCTTGCAGCTTGCCGGGGCGTGCAAAGCTCCGACCAGGGACATGGATCTACACGTCACAGTGGTTCCAATTCTCCCGAATTAATCCTTTCTGAACCGAGCATATTGTCACAAAATCAACGCTGTCCAACCGGGCATGTAGTATTTCTGCAGTGCAGCCTTTTGAACCCAGCTGTGTGTGGATATGGAGAAGAGGATGCCTGCTGAGGAGAAATCGGAAGCCGAAAAGATCGAGTTGCTCCAGCAGCTTAAGGCCCGCAGCAAGTGAAGGCGTCCATGTTTTGCACTTAAACCTAAACTTCAGAAGCCAGTAAGACCATGTCAAAGCTTTTTACCCAGCAGGCCAAAACCCTAGGCCCTAGCAAACCTCCGCGTCGCTTGTGGAGACTTGTGTTGAGCTGTCAGTGGCAACGAAGCAGCTCATACAAGATCCCAGAGAGCTGGCAACACGTTGCACTTAAGGGCTGAAGTGCCTTACTTGCTGCGCTGTCCCCATCCCACTTCCAGCCACCTCCCTCTGCCTGGGGCAACATCCACCATGAGAACTTGACTTGACTGCGTGAACATGCTGCACCAGGAAAGAGGTTTCCTGCGCAGCAACACTTCCAGAGCCACGTCGCGGCCTCGAATTCTGATCGATGCCAACTTGTCGGACCTCGGGCCGCGGGCTTTCATTGCACTGAGACAAAGCTGCAGCTGTGTGATCCCGCGCTCGCACAGGTGCTAGCTTGGGGTGTGACTTTGAACTCTGTACTAGATTCCTGCACTACTGAACACGGAGGAGAATACTTGGGAGTGCAGTGGATGCAGGGGCGCGATTGTGGGATTCGTGTATCACAGGCCACACGGACCGCGTGCTGCCCCCCTTCCTCTCTCAAACATGAGTAAATTGGGTCGAACTGCACGAGAATTTACACGCATGTACCTCAACTCGTGTCTAGGTTGAGAAGAATATACAAGTAGGGTGCCTATCGTGGGTATGGAGCATAGGTCTGAGGCTTCATACGGAGAAATAGGTGGATGCCGGGGCCAGATTGTGGGACTTGTGTACCAGAGTTCACGTAGACCTTCTCTTCCTTCCCCTCGATGATGAATTGAATGGCTCTAAACACCCGAGACTCTATACGTGGTTACCTCAATTAAAACTAGCATGCAGAACGCGGATGACGGGGCGGGATTGTGGGACCGGTGTGGCAGAGGACACATTTCATTTGCTTCCTTCCACTTGTTTAGGACTTGCAATGGTGCTTCTGACCCTCCCCTCCGCAGAAGAGAAGGGGCCTTTGCGCCGTATCTGCTGGTCCTGAGATGTGCCGAGGTCAGCCGCTTCTTCAGTCCAGTGAGTCTCTCAACATGCACAGGGCCATTTCACATGGAGGTGCTTGATTGTAGAACGAAGGGAGAATGCAGATCGAGAAGTTAACATCATTTCTTTATCCGAGCCACAAGAAGCCCAAGGCCCAGCAGAGGTAGCTCGCTGGCGCCGTCGGGCGCTGCAACACCATCCAGTGAGGCATTACCGGAGCAGGCTGGCTTCAGTAGCTCCCTGTCTGAATGTGCCGGCATGCGAACTGCAGAGGTCATGATTGACTGGAGTGTTTGGGAATCGTCTGCTGAGGCCAATTGCGTGCCGTATGTTGGAGTTCTGCGGTTTGCTTCGTGTTCAGTTGTTGTGCCACTCAGACGGATGCTCCCTCTGCGATTCAGTTCTGCACTCGGCCAGCTGACGTATGACAACTCCGGCAGATTCTGGCAGCATTGTCAAAGTTTGCAGGTCCATAGCCTCTTGCACATCTGCATCTCCACGGGAGCGGGTCCGTCCGAGTAGATAGGGATTTCGGAGACCTAGAGTCTAGAGCACAGCCGACGTTCAGGTTCGTCAGGACGAGCTTGACACCTCCACGTTTTCACTCACATCAGAAATGGCTGATCTTTCAACTCTCTCCGGCAAGGGCCTCAAATTGCCAGCGTCCGGAAACCAGCGATGCCGCGTATGTCGGCAGGGCGAGGCACTGGCAGCACTGGCACTGCTTCCAGAGCTTCCCACAAGTTGGAGCCGGTTCTCGAGGAAGCCTTAAGATAAGCTGAAGGGCAGGTTGAGGGGGTACTTGCAAGTGCTCAGCAGACAGGACGTTGCGGACGATGGAAGACTGTCAGCCTATGTGGAAGGTTACCTGACATGTTGCTCGATGTTGCTCGAAAATAGAACTGCAATCGATCTCTTTGCAGGTGATCCTCCGGATCAGGATGAGGAGCCGGCAGCGCTTGCGATGCTGACAGAGGAGCGCTTGCAGCAGGATGCAGCAATATTCAGCACTTAGGGAACCTGCGGTAATTTTCATTCCCAAGCACTCAAGCACTCAGAGCACTGAGGACCCTTACAACTTAGAGGCTCTTCAAGCCATCGATGACAAGCTTGCGAAGCTGGTCCCGGAGTCAGAGTGGGAGGCCCCACAACCGCTAGCTTCGTTCGCCTGCTGCGTTTGCTGCCTTCCTTGTTGAGGTCATTTCAGGCGTAGTTCTTGCGATGTTTGGGACTCGACAAGCTTTCTGGAAGGCTAAATCGATTCGGTCTCTACGCACGGGGTCCGAGATCTCCGCAGCAGGTGGGAAGCGAAAGATGCTGAACACACTGCCCGAAGTTCGTTGCATCTCATGTCAGGTCAATCCAAGATCTCGAAGCCATCTGCATGGCTCTCATTTTTGTCGAAACTACTCCAAGGTGATTCGATGTAAACTGCTAGGTGCGGTCAAGCGCTCTGAGCTCAAGTGTCCTGCCAGGCCAGATGCCTTTGCCTGCGTTGACACATTCATTGGAGAGGCTCATTCGCTTCTCGGTCGCGCAAGGTGAGCCTCTCCTACGAGAGCAGCATGAAGATCGGGAAAATCGTAAAGCGCCGGAGTCCCGATCAGATGCCACATATGCAGAGACGTCCGTCGATGCCGACGGCGGTTTGGTTGAAAAGGCTGGTGGCCATCAACGACCGGATCAGCCAGTTGCAGGCCCCTTGAGCGTGAGTAGAGTTGTTGCACTGCGAGACAGTGCAGTGAACATAGTGGACATCTTGCTTTCACAGGATGAGGGTAGCAGAAGACCTTCCGAGCAGTTGCCGCCAGAGCAGCTTCAGCAGTTGCTGCTCCAGGACGGCCTTCAGAGCAATGACCTTGCCAACATGGGCTGGAGTAGATGCTGACAGGCAGTAGCCGCACAGCCCGCGCCGGATGTCGACGACAAAGTTCTGTCTCTCCAGGCTTATCTGGAATCTAGAACTCCGGATGAACTTTTGCTGGCATGAGAGTGTGCAAGGCCGGCAGCATGGCCAAGTTGGTCCATGTGAAGCGAAACCGACGCGTTTGTAGAATTTGAAGTCTGAGATATGCTGCATGCTGTTCTGCAACTGGCCCAATGCTGATCTGCACAGGCAGACTGCAGGCGCGCCCGAAGTCGCCGGGCCTCTCTCCAAAGCAAGAGAGATTTTGGCCAGGTGGCTGAGCACTTTGCGGAACAGGCTGTCACTGAATCGCCGCTTGAAAGCACAGGCTGGAGCAAAGCAAAGGCGACCTGGACGATGTGGCAGTCGAGGCAGCGATTTTAGGATGTTCTGGAGAACTTGCACCTTGGGGACCTTGCGGATACCGATTCCGTACCGATGTGGCACATCCAAGGCGAAGTCTAGTTGGAAAGAAGTTGAAGACAGCCAGTCCCTCAGGATCCTGCCGCATGCACCAGGGCCAGGATAATGACTTTCCCGACAAGGCGTGCGCGTGTTGGAGCAAAGCTCAAGCGACCCGGCCGACGTGGAGGCCATGGAATCTCCGAAGGTATTCCTGCTTCAAGGCTCAAGGCTGCCCGTTTCATCGACGAGCTGTTATGGCACACCATGGCTATGTTTCCATGGTATTGCGAAGAACATCGAAGATCTCTGGGTGCTGGGCCCGCAAGCCTTGTCGTGACGCGCAAAAGGGTCACAAAGGGTCCAAAGGGTTTGTTTGCGATGGTCAGCATGTCAATCCAGTGGATCTGCCTTTAGTTTAGGTTCAGCGGTACGCAGATGCCAGCATGCAGACGCTTCAACTCTTTTTGACTGAATTCTCGGACAACTTGGGAATGGCAAGGCTCAGTAGCTTTCGTTCTCTAAAGGGCTCGAGTGGTCTGCCTCGGTCTTAGGGCTCACGGCATAAACAGACACAGATCCACAGCATGGCCAAGCAACCGAGGGCGCTAAGCTCCACTCTGCTTTAGAAGGGGCGCGTGCGAGCACATAGATGCATTAAGGCAGACTGATGCAGAAGAAAGCTAACTGCAGCCTGACGGAGGCCGAAGATCTCGAAGTCAGAGGACCTGATGCGACCGAGATGTCCACTTGGGCGACTCGGTTGGAGGCCTCGGTGTTACAGCTGCAAGAACCTGCACGTTCTGTATGTCGATCATGTGCGAGCAAGTCCCGCAAGCGCTTCCGCCGTCAGGATCTCGCCAGAGAAGCTTCGAATGTGGCAGAAAACGGAGTTCCTGCAGTGATGCTGGCGGCCTTTACCATTCAGCTCCGCATGTCTTTTTAGCAGCCGCAAGCCGCTGGACAAGACAGGTTACATACCCGGTTCCCACAGGCTGTGCCACAGCAATATCACAAGCTCGCAAAACTTTTGTCGCATACTTCTGGATTGGAGACTTCCGGGTTCCGGACAAAAGTGTAGGTTGCAGAGTTCAGGGTTTGGGTATAGGCCGGTATAGGGACCGACATAAATAGAAGTATGAGACTCCAAAAGCGTGGTTTGAGGCTCCCGGTGCCGCTTCAGCGTTTGACATGAATGCTTTAGGGACTTGCAGGGACTTGGATTCTAGAGCTTTTCAGAGAAGGGCAATTGGAAAGTTGACGTGGGCCTAAGACCTTCCATCCCCAACACTGAGGCTTCAAAGTCAGCAAGCCTGAAGAAGAGACAGGCTAAACTCAGCCGCAAATCCCAAACCCTTGCACTGCAGCCTTGGCAATCCAATACAGAATGGGCGTTGGATAGCGTGGGGATTGAGGGAAGGCAGATGAACGGGCAGCTGTCTCGCATCATGGCTTTCAATCCGAGTGAAGAAATCCTGTTGCGAGTTCGGTGCTTATGTTCATGTGCAGTGAGCATGTCGAGCACGAAGAGGATCAAGAAGAAGCTGGCGCTACACGTTCGCTTCAAAGACTTCGGCTAGTTGTTTACCCCGAAATTACGTGTCGCCAATAAAAAGGTGTGGCAAGATGTCACACAAGAAAACTTTCAACAAGTGCTGGTCGGAGGTAACACGGCAAAGACGCCTGCAGATTCTCCAACTCCACCGGTGGAATGCATAATAGGCTAATTCTCGTGCGTCCTCCCGCCTCCGTGTCCGCCGTCCCGCGTCCCGCCTGCGTCCGCATCGCTCGTCGCTCGCGGCCGCACGTATTCGGCCCGGGGGTTCACGGCCGTGGCACGCGGTCCCGCGGCAACGAACCAACAACAGCAACAGCAACGACAACATCATCAACAACAACAGCAGCAGCAACAACAACAACAAGAGCAAAAACAAGAAGAAGAACAACAACAACACCAACACCAACCACAACACCAACACCAACACCAAC